ACAGCGGAAAGTGGGGATGTCACGATGATGCTGCGAAATCCACTGCACTAGATTCGTTTCGTACGAAGCGCGAGCAATATCTCTTGTGCCTGTACGAGTACTGTAAGATATTAGCCCGTGGCGATCGCGGAGCGAGATCCTAGGAGGGAGGCCTGGCATCTCGCCATCATCTGTGTCCTATACTACCTGGTACTTGGGCCTTTTTTTTCAGCTCAAATGCCTCGCTATCGTGATCAATTGGCTTGTGGAAAAGCAAGGCAGTAGTAGCAGCACTACTAACTATTACTGCAGCGAACCGTCGGTCCAAGGAGCTTTTCATTACGCGGTCTTTGCCATCGCAGATACGAGTACAGCTTCGTTCCTTGCTTTGCCCAGAGTGTGCTATGCTGACCTAAGCCTAGCCTTTCCTCCTCCCTCGAGAACAGGCGCCAGCCAAGGCGGCGGGCCACTGCTGCGGCCGTGTAGTCCGCGTCGATGGCAGATTCAGTCGCAGGTGGCCCGTATCATGTTACGGTAGAGAGCGTTCCTGGTGCTAGCTGCTAGTATTAGCACGTAGTCGTAGGCCAAGAGAGGCGGCGAGCATGTATATAAGCGACACGGCTGGATGCTTGAGATTCATGACGATTACCTACCATGGACAGTACGAAGTAGGCACTTGGATGTTCGTAGGAAACGACCCCTGCGCCGGGTTCCTGGCGAGCGAGAGACCCAGGCCAGGCCAGCCAGGAACAAGCGCCAGTGGCTTCGAGTGGTGTGATGGGCGCTGGGCGAGCTTCGTTAGGGCATGATCTTCCCCCTCTCTGCAGCAGATGGCGGCGTCCACATAACAACGATGAAGAAATGAGAAGCGACTGGGGTCCCCGTCGCGCCAGTCCAATGGCGGCGGCCACTTTGACGTTTGGACGAGGGCAGCAATTTTGACATGCATAAGGTGCCTTGCTAGCGCGGCTCGATGGCGGCCCGTGATTGGCTGGCACGGCTCTCCCCCGTAAACTGCGTATCTTAGCACGGAGTGGTACCTCTAGCGTAACTGACGAGCCCACGGCCTAGCACGTACTGCAAGGTCGGCAGCGACCTAGTGCGGATGGAGCCCCACCAATGGGCAATTTGCACGTGCGCGCATCTTGGGTGAGCTAAAGGATGGTCATGAGCAATGCCGAATCGTGGGCGCGGGATGCGAGGCCATCGGCCGTTTGCCGCGGCAGATACTATTGCTATTCTCGGCGTCTTGACCGTGAAATTGATAGACTGGTTGACTGATCAGTCAAGCTGAAGTCCTAGAGAAACGTCATTCCACCAGACTGACTCTCGGTGCATGTAGTCGCCAGTCTCCCTTGCCTCTGATCTCCTCGGCCTTGGGTTGAGTATCTTGGAAAGTGATGCCATTCGCAGGTTTCAAATATCCCCCGCCATCACATTGTTTTCCATCTGGGATCGGAAAGATGCGTGCCTACCTACCTAGGTATGTAGGCTTCTGATCCCCGGAGACAACCACGTATCAGTCCAGTATAGACGACACGAATCGATACGTGGCAGAGGAACTAATCTCAACTCGACCTGAAAAGGCCACCCGCCAGGCTGTCTCCCGCACGGGGTGCGTTACAGTGCATGCAGCGACAGGGGCAATGATACTATACATTCGATGGGTGCAACGGGCCGGGAAAAAAAAAACGAGAGAGAGAAAATGAATAAAAAGACGTCGTATGTGCGCTTATCTGTGCCATGGCCGTTCTGGTATGACTCGTCTCGTTGATACCAACTGAACATCGTGATCATCAGTCAGGAATAAACCTTCTACAAGCACAAGCTGACGCTCAAAGGTAGCACCACAGCGCCTGGCCGTACTGCATGCTGGTGGCAGCGCTGCTCGCACATGGGGCCAGGGATCTTGCCAGCGTTCTAGAAATTGTCGGGTGAGACAAAAACATCAACCAAGGCCACACAGAAGCGGTACGGTTTGTTCCAGACGATAAACGCCATGCTACCTTCGGTGTTGCATCACCAATGATGCATTCGCCGGGTCTCTCTCGGGCCCCTGTCGACGAGCTGGAGGGGTAGCTACCAGTCAGTCTTTTGAGGTGGTACAGCATACAACAGTAATGCGCTTGCTGCCTGGCACAGGCTGGTCAACAGGCATCTCGTTACTGCCTACACTCTACAACTAACATGGCGCCGTACTCGTAGTACGAGGAGCGTGCTAGTGCTGGTGCTATTGCCTAGCATGAAGCATGAGCAACAAGTTCAACTCATGCTAGCCGCAAGTATGTGGACCGATCAGACACCCCACACACACTTTTGACCCTTTGCGGGACTGCCACTTTGGGGCCTATCGAGTGCTGCTCGGCGTGTTACTGGGCGGTGCTCTGGCACGATGGAAACTCCCAGGATAGGATGCCCTGGCTCTTATTCAAAGTACGCGAGTACGGAGGCGAAGAGGACAAGCTGGCCAGGCCGCTTCTGTCCCTTCCTATCTGTGGCACACGGACGGAAGCTTGGGTGAACCTGGTTGCGGCGCTGGGGGGCTTGGACGCAAACGGAGCGTTGCCGACGAGTGCAGCACTTGGATTCATCATCGAGCTCAACGGGCCGCGTACTCGCAAACACAAAGTACAAATGTGGCGTACGTGAAAAGATACCTACCTGTGCACGCCGTGTTGCATCGCCAATGTTCTGTGGATGCGTCAACGAAGGGCTTGCGGTGCTACTCATCAACGGTAGATATTGGCCATGCGACTTGGGTGCGGCCGGCCATAGTCGAAAGGAAGCAGAAAGCATATTTTAACACAACAAGGAGAAAAAGATTTCTACAAGTGCATAATTTTCTCTTTTCTGAGCGTGGGGTTGATCCAGGGCGCGGAATGCTAATAAATGTGCACACCCAAGGGAGAGAAGTGCTCAACTGGACGGAGTCGTGTCCGACATAGCTCCCTTGGAAGAGAAGCAAGGAAACTAATAAGAAGAGACAAAAAAAAGACCAAAAAAAGGGGACCAGAAGTCTCTGCTCTGTCACAGAATGAGAGACGATGTTTTTCTTTCCCGTCCTCTTCAACTCCCTTTCTTGCTCATCCTTTGACTCCATGATACGGCTGGTCTTGTACTGCACGGCAGCATCCCTCTCGCCAATCTATCTTACGTAATCAGCAGACTGTCCTGCACACGTACGGGCTGGCGGACTCACACCCCCTTCTTGATACAACAAGGTTTCTCGTCGCGTCACAGGACCAAAAAGCACTCCAGGGCTGGCAAAACCACCGCTGGCTTTAGCATTTTCGGCCAGAGAACGCTCGCTGGCGTCATCTTAGCCCCAAGACAACGCCCACTAGCTTCAAGCCCGTGGTCCCCAGCTGCTGGGAGGCTACAGCGCCGTCATCGTAGTACCTGCAAGGTACGCAGGGCCTGGTACTGTGTCCGCCACCTCGCTGACGAAACACAGGCTGAGGAGACAGGGCCGGTACGCAACAGTGGCCGATGTGCAGGTACCCTCAACTTTCAGCGTCGCCGGGACATGCTGCGCCGCTGCCCCGATTGGCTGCGAAACCTAGAGGAAATTTGGCCCCCGCTGGGCTTTTTTCTCTTCAGCCACCCTCCCAGAACCAGAACCCTCCTGGAGCCTTTTGGGGAACTTGGAACCCCTTCCAGGGCGCGGTGTCGTCGCTGTCTGAGCCCGCAGAAGCCGCTGAAAGCCCTCAAGGCCCTCCAAACTCTCTCCCTCCCTTTCCGCGCACTAGCCCCCATCCAACCCTCCAAAACAACAGACTCTCAACTTTGGTAGCCCGCCATTTTGGGCTCCATCGCCAGAAGAGAGTTCTGGCGCAAGCAAAAAAAAAAAAAAAAAAGTTAGAAAATAACAACAGAAAATGTGGAAAGCAATAGTCCCTTAGAAGCAATACGGATGAAAGAGTGGCTCTCCTTGTCTCGCAAAAAATTGTTTGACTTGCAGGTCCCGATATCTGCTGCAAGAAGCAGATACGAATGATTTGACGCCTCTCGCTCATAGGTCCACTGGTTGCTAATCGCTGCTCCCACCACTGAACCCACCACTCTGCTCCCACCACCACTATATTAGCAGCACTACTGCCAGCTACCTAGCCTGCTAAGTGGCCAGCATCTTCCCTCTTCCTCATTCCCCTCGCCCACTCTCACTCATCGTTGATCCTTTTCTCGCTGCCCTGGCCTCTTAGCTCCCTCCACCTTTTGCCGGCTGCAGCTGCGGCCTTCCCCCTCCTCTCTTCTCCCCCCCCCCAAAAATTAAGGCCCCAGAAGGCCTAAAGCCAAGGCCCGGACAGAGGAGAAAATATGCGAACTGCACCTGCATCCAAATCCATCACCACCTCGCTAATCCCAACCAAAACGCCAAAAGTTTAGGCCAACTTCGCCTTATCACCAACTTCATCCCGCCAGCTGATCGCCGCGCAGCCGCCGCTTCGCACGCGATTTTACTTTCTCTCTGGCGCCTCTCTTCTCTTCTCCTCTGGATATTTTTTTAAATTCTTCTCTTTGGCTGCGCATCGCCGCAACTTGACTTCGAACCCCGATCGCCGGCCGCGTCTTTGTTGCCGCCACAGCAGCAGAAGCGCCGAACCGGGATCTTTTTCCTTCATCTCTGGCTTTCAATCTCGCATCACCAGCATCGTCAGCATTATATGCTTATACACGTATATAATTTCTTTCGCGCTTACGAATAGAGTTCCTCGAATACCGCCGCCGTCTTTTCTGCTCTGAAGAAAGCCTCTCGTCCGAGTCGTATTGGCACTGCTGCCAGGCCACGCATCGTCGAACCTTTTATTTGAACTACTTCCGCGACCTCTCTCTCTCGACTTTTGGCTCTTCACTTCCCACATAAAACCCTCGATATACCATTCTGCGTTGTTCTACTACGCAATAACAACCCATCTGGCCCTCGTAGCCGTCACTCTAACCGTCACCAGCTGCGCACTACTTTCGCCCTGGCATCATCATCGCCAACGCCTTTCGCTACCTCATATCCCGATCGCATGGCTATGAGCGGTGATCCGAGCCGGAGCCATCCGCCGCCGACAACGTCTGCGTGGATGCAATATCCCGAATCCTGGACCAGCCTGTCGCCCGTGCATATGCAATCACCAGAGCCTCTGGAGCGAGGAGGCCTCATCGCCGCCATGAACAGCTTTGCCAACCCTCCGGCCCCTGTTCCGACGGCGCAGTCTGTCCGCGCGCCGTTCAGAGGCCAACCTTCCTCGTCAGCGCCTTCGTACGGCCTCAACGGCGTGAATGGCAACCAGCGATTTGGGGCCGAGCCGCCCAGGAACACCTTGTTCGATGTGTTCGCTCCGCAGCCGCAGCAGCAACCTGTGCGCGTGCTGGTCCGCAACTTGTCGGCCAATACGACAGAAGATGCCCTGCGGCTCATGCTCGTCTTTTCAAATGAGCTGATCAGCGTCGAGCTCTTGACTAACAATTCTGATGACCTGCCCTATCGCTCTGCTATTCTGTACTTCCAATCCATGAACGGCGCGCTTGAAGCCCAAACCAATCTCAGTGGTCGCCTCAACATGAACAACAGCGGCAACATGGTGGTTGATGTCTTGGGCACGTCTACCTATTCGTCGCCCAACAGAATGACGCCTAACCCCGTTCCCTTGGCCAGCCCAAGCGCCGCCTCCAACGTTGACCCTTTTACCACGGCGGTTGCTCGTCCTCAGCCGAGCATTGGCAATGGATTCCCGTCCCACGATGCAATGTCGCCGACAATGAGAGGTCGCTTTTTCGGTAGCGTTCCTCCCCATCAGGACCTGGCCGCTCCAGATACGGAGGCTAGCAACCACTACAAGAACTTGTTCAATCCCCAGTCGCCTATTGGAAACCACCTTGCTAACGAGCTGCCCGGCCGACTGGGCAAATACATCATTAACAATGAGCTCGGCGATGACGATGATAGCGAACTCCTCAGAGATCCCATCGCCTATGCGGAAAACGGCACCCCGGCCCAACGCAGAGCTACTGCTCCCACCATTCCCATCAGCCAAATGGCGAGCCTTTCCATCAACACGAGCGCCCCGCCGCCATTGCCATCGTACATCCCAGCTTTGACTTCTCCGGTTCATGGCGTCAACGGCAGCAACGGATTCATGAGGGGTGGGCAGCAGCAGCAGCAGCAGCAGCAATCGCAACAGAATCATCACTCACTCACTCGGATGCCGCAGCAAAGGCCGCAGCAGCAGCAGCAGCAGCAGTCGCGATCACAGGCGCAGCAGCAGCAGCACGACAAGTCCCCGAGGCAACAATTATCAAAACCTCAGCAACAAGACAGGCAGCAACAACAGTCGAACCAACAGGTGCCCTACGGAAGGTCCAACTTTCCTCCTGTCAACCCCGCGGACCAGAATCCTCCCTGCAACACGCTTTACGTCGGCAACCTGCCTGTCGATACGGCTGAAGAGGAGCTCAAGGCAATGTTTTGCAAGCAGCGAGGCTACAAGAGACTTTGCTTTCGTACCAAGGCAAATGGGCCCATGTGTTTTGTCGAGTTTGAAGACATTTCGTTAGCCACACGGGCACTGAATGAAATGTACGGAGCGTTGCTGCACAATAGCACCAAGGGTGGCATCCGCCTGAGCTTCTCCAAGAACCCGCTTGGCGTTCGTTCTGGCCAGCCTGCTTCACAAGTCTCTCAGACAAGCATGCCTCCCATGAGCGGAGTGGCCCCGTCAAACTTGTCTAATGCCTTTGCTGCGGCCAGTGGCCCCCCTCCAGGCCTGTCTGTACCACCAGGACTTGGTTCACGAGGCGCTGGCTACGGCGGCCCCGGCCACAGCATTACGAATCAACGAAACAGCAACTTTTCAAGCCTGCCATCCAACGGCAATAATCACCGTCATCAACACGGTCAAGACTCCTATTTTGCGTATACGAGTTCCAACAATGGAAACGGTACTGTGGTTAGCTTCAGCAACGCTGGCTCTTCCCGCAACACACCTTTCTACACCAATGGAGCGAGCAGGCCTGCTAAGCCTCGCACTCCTTTCGCATAATGTGGCATATTTGCTCTTGGGGGATTTTGTCTTTTAATTTTCTTTCTGTCTTCTTTTGTCCTCTCCCTTTTTTTTCCCCCTTTAAGAGGGAGAGCTACTTCAAGATACACACAGGGGCATCTGTTTTGGGATACTACGATAAACTTGAAACTAGCATCACGGTTTGGGACCGGGAAGGGCGCAACGAGTTTCTTTAGTCGACTTTGTCTGTTTTTCTCTCTTTCGCCCCTTTTTGATTTTTTTATACGCATGGGATTTTTTCCGACCATTCTGCCTTCACGTGGCTATTAGCCAAGAACTTCTTCCTGGCCTTGGAGTAATGAGTGCGACAAGACAAAGAGTGGACAACGGCGTTGGCTCACTTGGGCTGGTCTTTGAATCGGCGTGACTTTTTTGTTCCCCTTCTTCTTTCTTTTTGATTCCCCCTTTCCTCCCCCCCTTATTTTTAAAAAACATTTCATTACATGATTCTGGACGCGAAAAAGATAATCTTTTATATCCCCTGTTATGTGCCTTTTCTTTTTTCTCTTCCGTTGCAAGCTGGCTTGGTTTTTCAAATGGACAGGGGGGAAAACTTAAAAATTCTCATCACCAAGTTTCAACTACACATCTCTCTTTTTTTGGTAAAAGCAAAAGCACAAAAGCAACAACAAAAAAAAACACATTATTTGGAGGCTAATTCAGTTTTTTCCCTTGGTTTGGCAGCGCTGCATTTTTATTGGAACACTGGGAAACGCTTCAGATACCGCTTCAACATGACTTTAATGCGGCTTCAACTTTTGATATCCTATTATTCTCCTTTTACACTTTCTACCCTTCTTCTTGCTACTGCCTCTTTTTGTTTTTGGCCTCTGTTTGTGACTTTGCCATTCGGCAAGTCTTTGTTTATTTCGCCTTCAGCGTCCTTTATAGAACCGACTACAGCATGCAAATGCCGCATACCAATATCTTTTGCTGGTCCGCCAATAGGAGCTATAGCTTGCACACTTTACGGTGGCTATTCGCGGACTAGGGGAGCCAATCCGCCCTCGTCAAAGGGACAAGGAAGATAATGCACGTTCTGGCGCTTTTGTGGACTTTTTTTTTTCTCATCTGCATAATTCCATGGATATTGGGTTCTCTGCGCAGTTCTTGGTTTTTTTTTTTTTTTTTTTTTTCCAACTTTCATACTATTGTACGTCTGCATGAACTGGATGGGCTGTTGATCTTCATGGGCATGAACAACCGGAGTATCAGTTGGAGAATTTGGAGCCAATTTTTTTTCACTTCTTTTTCTTGGGTGTTGGTTGGCTGGGTGCCCATACCTTTTATCTCTTCTCATGGGCTACTGGAGGAAAATAAATTGAGATGAGAAGAACACAATGACAAAAGGGAAAGAATGGGACGACCTTGGATCACTTCTTACTTTTTAGACGTGGAGATTATTCGATCTTTGCTTTCCTCTTTTCCCAATGGAACAATACGGCAAATATGGCTGGTCATGGAAATAACTTGTTGCGTCGAATCCGCCAGTTCAGGGCTTTTTTATGTCGTTTGAGTCTTTTGATGTTGTGTTATATAGTGGCAGCGGTAGTTTTGGTTGGAGCGTCCATTGCTGAATTTTGTCTTTACTCTGATGGAACTGTATGAGCTCAGAATATCAATAATGAATAGGAAAGGAGACGCTTTGGCTGATTTTGCTTCGACTTTGCTTGTCTTATCTTGCTTGCCGTGAATGTAGCTGTGTGTGCCCAAGATATATGTGTGATATGTTGAACTATAAGATATGGGTCCGTGAGGGACATGTGCCACTTACCCTTGAGGCAGCATTTATGCATTGGAGGTTTCGAGTTGCTGAAGTTCTTCCTTTCTTCATCTTCTAATCTGCCAATCTGCCAATCTGCTAAACCGCCAAACCGCCAATCATTTGCCTTGGAGTCCCGCCAATCCTTGAAAGGTCGTCTTTCGCCAGAGAAATGCCGTATGGCGAAGTCATACGTATCAGCTCTATTGTGTCGACTTCCATCCATCAATTGTATCCATAGAGGCAGACAATTGTCGCGATAGGCGTTATTGGCTGTGGCTTTACTTGCTTGGCTTCCGCGGAACTTTTCCTCTGTGGCGCCGTGGTGGCTTCTGCTGCAGATCTTGAGGCGTCTAAAGCTGTTCGTGGCAGCTCTCTGGCACATTACCAGCCACAGGCTCGCCTCTTCCTTGAGACCTAGCTTTGGAAGCATGTGAAAACGAGGAAGTGGCAAGGATGCACTGTGCGACTCTCAGCAGCGCGCGGATGGAGCTCTCTGGGCAGGGAGACGGCTTATTCTGGACATATCTTACGGCGAGATGCAGAAGAAGAATCAAGCTGAGTCAGGAACGGTAGGACATACATGACTCCGTACAGCATGCTCGGTTTGATGAAGATGCAGTATCACCACTACGTACTCGCGGCCACCAGCATCAATCAATCTCGAGGATCCCAGCAGTACACGCTAGGAAGAGAGACGTGTGGAACCTTTTTTGGACCTGTCGGGACCAGGAATCCGGGGAATCCAACGAGGTGCAATTATGGGGTATGATTGTTTTAAAGCAAGCCATTCAGCCACCCCCGATCCCATTCCTTCCGGCAGTTCCATGCGAAATCGAAGAATAGCCATGGGGACGGGCTGGCTATACAGCAAGCCCGTGAATCAATTAGCCTATGTTGATGCTGTCAGCTTGATAGCATTCGCCATGGCGTCTGCCTCTCTGATGTGCCATCTGCTAAGCATAATAGAGTGATGTAAGTGCAAAGGCTATTGAGCACTCCCCCGCAAATTGCCATGCGCCTGTCATCCCACAATCCGTAGTTTGGCATATGAAACATATAAAAGCCCGACCTTGTTCTTTAAGCTTTAGGAGCATGGTTTTTTTCTTCTTCTCCATTTTCAGAGCTCTAGCCCGTTTTTGTTGCTAATTTTGGAGAGAACAAAGAAATAGCACAACCAATAATGTCTGCTACGATTCGACATCCTCCGCCGCTCAACGACCCGAGAAATAGCGTCCAGAGACACTTTATCAGTCCCACCCCGAATGCTAGGATTGCAGACGACAATGGGCTCAATGATATACTCGGCGTGACACAGATTCTTGAGAATCACGATATCCCGTGCTTTTGTGTGGGGATATCTGCCCTCAAGTTTTATGGCGCCGCGAGAGATCGACGCGTGAGCTTTACTCCTCCTTTTGACAACGTGATACTTTTGTTTGGTTATAGAAAGGACGACTTATTGCTTGATGTTTACCAATGGATAGAGTAATAGCTAACATGATGACTCTTCGTACCAACAGGAATGGGAAATATGCGTACCCACCGAACTCGCACCCAAAGCCCACGAACTCTTCCGCTCACCTCCATACTCTACCACCTATATCCCTATTTCTCCAGTCCCCCACGCCCGAATCATGTCGTTTCTACACACCTACAAGCGATACCAGATCCGAGACCTCCCCCACATCTTCGTCATCGTGCCATCCCGCGACGTACACCTCGACTGCCGCCCCAACAAGATTGTCCGTAGCCTCAGAGGCCTGCCCTACCCAAACCTCGAGGATTTCTTCCAGAGCTGCCTCGACCGCCGCGACGAAATCGAGCTCACCGACCTCATAGACGGCACAAACGTCACCAACGACTGGGGCGAGTCACACCTGGACTTGAACGGATCCCACGACGTCGAGTGGGCGCGCGAGATGAAGCGCCGTACCGATGAATGGGACCCCCACGTGGAGGGAACTTCGCCGCCCATTGACTACTGGCCCACGAGGCCTCACAGCAAGCGAGAGTTTTGGCAGCAGCTCGTGCAGACCAAGATGGATAGACTGGACTGGTCGCGGCCACCTGAGATTTTCCTGACACAGTATCGGATTCGTAACTCTTCGGATCCATGGACTGTCATGACGAATGTCGCTTGAAGGTAACTATCTGTTTTTATGTTTTTCTCATTGTATAATACTTCCTTGATTTATGATCTCTTTTGAAATGTCTACAGCAAGTAGAACAGCATTCGTTGACATGGTAATACTTGTGTATATAGAACGGTCCCTGCATATGGAACGGCAAGTACTTTTTTGATGTCATTCGTCCAATACATCTTTATATCTAATACTCTCTTATCTGGGCCAATAAAGTTTACGACAAACAATAGATTTCAGTCTAGAAAACCCGCATCCTATAGAAGGCGAACTGTCTCAACTACTCGTGCTACATGCAAATAAAAACTTCCCAGGCTGTACTCATTCATGCCCCAGATCATATACCCCATGGTGATTGTGATGAATGGAGGCAGAAAGCTGGGAGAGTCACTCGTAACTGCGGCTCCGCGCTTCCAATTCGCAATTTCTGTCAGCGGCGTCGTCTGTAGTTCGAGTGGCTGGTCCATTGTCTCTGATATATACGTTGCTACGGTACGTGCTATCACGAACCGCCAGAACAACGAGTGCTCTGAATAGCCCTGTATGGCCCCAACGGTCTCAGCCGGCACGTCAATTAGAAACGGCATTCCAAGCTCCGTGGCCGCGCTCTCGATCCGAGACACATCGGTATTCATGGGATGAGGAAGAAACAGGGGCTGAGAATTGTCCCATGGGTTTCTAAACGCAGCCAGAGCCCATATCTGGATGTTGATGGCAGAAACATCATGGTTGGCGCATTGCTTCTTGACCATGACATAGCAGTCTTTATGAACTGGCGCTGTATCCTCCGCCTCCATGCATACTTTGCACTTTGTCTTTTTGCAGATCTCAAACCGAGCTGTTCTAAGCTGGAACTCTCCATCTTCAGGAAGAAGGAACGATGGCGAGCATACAAAAGTTTCCGGAGCCTCACGGTAGACTATACAAAGAAGAATAAGGAGTGTCAGCGCTAATATCAAGGATTTCTAAAATAGTGCTTTCTAGATAGAGATTGATAGAGATGCAGTAAAGCTGGAAAGCAAGGGGAAAAAAGGGAGGAAAGCATGCCACTACTTACCAACCTGTATGCTCTCGTTCGTCTCTAGGAATTGTACACATATCCCGCGCCGGGGATAGATTCCAAGATGAATCGGTTTCGTAACTGGCTGTTGCCTCCCGGGCGGCCCTTAATTTGAATGACATATCATGGAAGATGGGATAACCTGAATGAGGAAGAAGATGATGACGGTGGCAATGGAAAGTAAGAAAGATGAAAAGGCGAAGAGAGATGAAAAGGCAAGAAAAAAAAAGAGCGAGCGGAACAGCAAAGAGGGAAAAACCAGCCGCAGCCTTGCCAGGCAAGACTTCGACTGTTTGCTCTTCTTTTATAAGCAGGCGCGCAGCTCTCTATATATTAATCGAGCCATTCGCATCTACTGCCTCTATCGTCATTTACTTGTGCTTTCCCTTTTTTTTTTTTTTTTTTTTTTTTTTTTTTTTTTTTTTTTTTTTTTTTTTTTTTTTTATTTAGATCGGAAGAGCACAAGTCTGAACTCCAGCTACAGTCACAGTCAACATGCTCGTATGCCGTCTTCTGTAAAAAAAAAA